TATTTGTTATATTGACGAATAATGAGAAATTAATCATGTTACCGTTTCATATTTAGATCATAACACTGTTATATTACAGTGACAAGTTTTGTTGTATAAACATTAAAGCAATCGATCTGCAAGCAATAATATTATATTTTGTGCAATGCAGTTTTTGCGCTACAATATCGTGTGTGCAAATGTGCCTTTTCCTTTTAATTTTATATATATTTGTGTGTAGTATAATACATGTAGGCAATAATTTTTCTGCGCAAACAAATTGTCAGCAAATGTAATGTAGACACATGGGGGGTGCTCCTCCGGAATAGTATATCAATCTTAATTTATTTAAATCAAGAGGTTTTTATATAAAATTTTATCATAAAGATATGGCGATAATTTAATAATTGAGACAGATTCAAATTACTAATATGCTTTAATAGCATTTGCTTTAAAATAATTCTTGTTTGTCGATTTATAATAGTACATACATAAGTGATTGCCATGCATACAAAAATAATGGTCAACACACACATCTAATCTTGAATTTAAAATGTATTCTGAAAACAAATCCCGGTAAATTAGAACTAATTGTGATCTTTTATTACGATTGTCCTATACATTCAGGATACGTTTCGTTTTCATGCTTACATGTTATAAGCATCATTTTATGTAGTAATCTATGTAGTAATAATAAAACATTCCCACGGATGCGCAGTAGGAGAGAGAATTTGGATCCAAATTTGATTAGCTATTTCCAGTATGCTATCGCCATTATGCACAATGTTTCACCTATATATTATTACACTGTGATTTTATCCGAATCGTCTATAAGATATTAAGACAAATAATGCTTACACTGAAAGCACTTTTCACGAAGTTTGTATAAGAGAGCGACAAATACAAACGTGTCAATGTCTTTTAAAATTAACAGTAATTTCGATTTTAAGAAATTCTAACAGTTTTCAATTCGCGAGTGTTATACTTTCTTAAATCCAGCAAGGCATAAAAGCAAGAATCAATAATATTGTATTAAAATTATTTTAAAAATTAAGAGCAGTGAGAGTTTATTGAAAGGTTTTGTCTTCTGAACGTATTGTCAACTTTACACGTCAGTGCTCCTACATGTCTCTCTCTAACAGTGTTTTCAATTTACCTAGAAAATTTTATCACCTAGAAAAATTATGTCTACTGAAAATTTATCCATCCATATATATATTATATCTCTCTCATACAAAATTACATATTCATTCTCAACTTCTTTTATTAATTCGTCATTATTATTTAAAGTATAGTTATAATTGTACTTGATCGTTTATCACATTGTCAGTTACAGTTCGTTTATTACTGTAGTATTGCCTGTGTGTGGCTCTAAAAGAAAATAAATTAAATAATTAAATTTTATATATCGAATGGGTTGTGGTATATTACAATAATCTGTTATAGGAAAACAATTAAGAATGGGTTAAAATGTTTTATCATGACTGATCTGATTTCGCATATGATTCAAACGTGATGATTTATGCTTGAAGCCCTTATCACACATCAAATATTCATACGATTTTATCGCTATGTATAAAATCATGTCTGTTGAATTTAGTTTTGATATAAAAAGCTTTGCCGCAAACCTAAAATGGTAATCAAGATCTTGAAGTACGGCTTAATTTCGTAAGTCTGAAAAAATTTCGGTGCGCATCTTTAAGAATCTACATACGTAGTATATAAATTCACACGAAATTATATATTAGAAGCATCTAAGATCCAGCTTAACCGTTATATGGCATGTTCCTATCGGTACTTATTAGTTTAAACTCTCACGGTCCAATGAGACTTGATATTGTAAATTTAATTTTGATCGTCATTAATTTTTTTCATAAAGAATATATAAATTTAAGTCATATATTTTATATAAGTATTTCACTTAAATATACATATGTGGGAATGAACGGAATAAAGGCACAATTCCACTTAAGCCCTTTTTTCGGAGATTAGCGTAAATAAATAAGGAATTGATGATAAAAATGATATAATCTATGGAAAAAATTATATCTTTTTCATGAGATTTTTACCAGAGATTGAACAAAAATGATACAACAATAATATGTGATTGCTGTACAACGTATTTATGTTATAAAATCTCACGAAAACTCATCAGATGATTGAATACATTATTTCAATTTATTTTATACAAGTGTAAATGTAAAACTGTATTCCATATTTAATTTCTTCTAAAATAGTATTTTTTCTAGAAGAATGTAAAGATAAAAAACATTTCTATAATTTATAAACTTTTCTTTCTGTTAAGTCCTCCATTCAATACTATAATCAATATTCGAAAAAAGGGACAAAGTGAATTTTTTTTAATTGCAAATAGCTAGCTTTTTAAATATTGATCATACAGGAGAAATATTGACCAGTCTAAAAGTAATAGTTAATTTCATTTGATTGAAACGGGAAGTCTTAATAGAAATATCGAATATATGCCGCATCTAACAAATACGTCCAATCCGATAAAAAACAATAAACGCAAATTCATTGTTCGTAACGCGTAGGTTACTGTTACAAAATTGTTGTCCTCGTTAAATTCGTATGGGAATTTCCAATATTTATCGAATTTACACGTTACACGGCCAACAGTGTTTCTGCGAACTCGTACAATGAATCCAGTTTAATTACACGATTGCGAGCGCTCTTAAATCGTGGTCATTACCTTGTACGCACGCGCGTCATCCGTGAACGCTTGCAAATATGAAATCCGGTTATTTGATCGATCAATAAAACTCATCGCACCAGCTCGGGGTATCATGATTTTCTTCCCTTCTTCCCTCCTGCCCCTGTATCCGTGGATGCATCGCTAATAATTAAACATGATGACGAGGGGCGATGTTGTTTTAATTCTCTCATTATGCCCACAAGGACAGTGATTACTGCCAACCGAGGTCATTTATCGAGAGATAAGTCAATTACAAGAGAGAGAGAGAGAGAGAGAGAGAAAGGACATTATCCGTTAGAATGTGAAATAAAAATATTTTAATAACATTCACAGGCCTATACCTGCCTGAATACTGCACGTAATGAGTCTGCCCAGTTTATGCCCTTTTTAGGCAACAACGAATGCAAATTCAGTAAATTGGAAGGATGAAAGGATGCAACTTCAACGGATTTCACAAATTAACTTTACTCTGAATTATGATACTTGCGCTTCCCACGTTTGAAATTATTAAGAGGTGTAGATATTAATCAGATTATACTCGTAAAGACATATGCATTTTTTATATTTAAAAAAAATATATGAGAAAAATACTGAAAAAATATATACAATATATAGAAGTCTCCCTTCCTCCATCCACGAATAATATATATTGTCTTCGCAAGAATTACTTTGTTACACGTAATTTGCCAATTATCTCGTGTTTTACAAACACAAAATGATTAAACAATATTCAGTAATTAATTACTTACAATAGAATTATTACAATAGAATTTGGCGGCTGCATAATAGCACACCAACCACTATTAATGTAACTCACAATTATTACATATGATCGTATATAACACAAACGAAAAATTTATCATAAATTATCATAAATTATCATAATAGAACTCTTATAAGATTATATTAACTGAGTAATTAAATTAAAAGGAGTACAGATTACAACCTCAAAAATATATTTATCTAGATTCTAGAATTATGTTAAATTAAATTAAATATGTTATTATAAATTATTTTATTTAAAAATATATCAGGCGCATATTATTACCTTTGCGAAAAATTACTAGAATTGAGAATTCATAGTTTCCATATAAAAATTAATGTTATATACAATACATATAAAACATTTTCAATAAAATCAATACCTATATTTAATAATATTTTATAGCTGAAATATATTTTTTTAATTTTATTTTAACAATTTTCTAAAAACATTTTATTGAAATAATTTTTATCCAGATAAATTGCTGCCAAATTGTTTGTATTACTTTCAAATACAATTTAGAAGAATCCGTAATTTTTTCATAGCATTTTATTTTGTTACAAAATATGTATAATACATTCTTAATTTTGTAATCTCGACTATTTCGAACTATTTCGATCAAGTACGTACAATCTAAGCTTAATCATTTTTCAAAGAATTAAGATACACTTTCAGATAAAGGTGTTTTCAGTAAAATTTAAATTTGCGCGCGTTCCTGTATCCGACTAATCTAGGATGCGTTCCAAAACTCAGCTTTATCAACCCAAGTATATCATTTTATCCTTATTGTTCACGGAATGTTAAATGAAGAAGATATTCGGAGTTGGCAGAATTAAGTTTTAGAACGCATTTTAGTAAGGACAAGATCCTGTTTTTGATTCTGCCGCGCAGATTTATTTGCGCATTCATAAGAAAATTATATTTTCAACTAGCAGTAAATTTTAGAACACAGTCTATATTTACTATATACTACATCTATATATATGGTGAAATCCTTTATATCCCGATTAATCAAATTTAAAAAACATTGAATGTTCGATTTAATCGGTTCTGAAATAATCGAACAGTTCATTAATCGAAATAAAAATAATCAGATAGCTTATTAATCGAGATGAAAACAATCGGAAAGATCGATTATATTTACAAAAAATATCGAACTTCGATTAATCGAAGCAACATCGCCCATGGCACCCATCACTGATCCTGACCCGAGTAAAGATCACATAAACGTGGTTGCGTTGACTGCGTGATTAATTAATCAAGTCGTGTTATGAGTGCTCAATGAGTGGTTCGTATGTGGTACTGAATGGACCTAAATATTATTTTGAATGCGTACACATTCAGCGTTCTATACCATTTTGCCACGACTATTCTTCGGACGAATCATCAAGCGCATGCGAACATTGCGAACGCTGGCGAAAGCCAGCAAGAGCGTACCAAGCGCAAGTAGGAACAAATTTGCCTCTATATTGTTTACATTTCCGTTTAGTTTTTCATCAAACGCGTGTTACGTCTCGTGACGTTCGCAGCGAATTATTTCCAAATTATTCGGCGAATTTTTGTTGATCGCGTATTGAACACGTGGTCATCTTTTTCATCGGCATGGAGTCTAGTAATTCGATGCCGCCTGGAATGGATTCTCCCGACGACGGCATTATTCTGATCGAGACTGTGAAGAATATAGTAACGCATGAAGGACGCAATGAAGCAGAGGAAACCGGGGAGGACTTTTTCTTAATATCGCAGGGCCAGGCAGTGCAGTATCCCGAAGGGAACATCGAGGAAACGATGTCTCACAGACAACAAACGGAAGTCACATTAGCATGGATGCATCTTTGCAGGATATGCGCTAATACGAGCAATCATATGATACCAATCTTTGAGGATGAGGGAGCGCAGCATGACTTGATCAGCAAAATACTCAAGTATTTACCGATACATGTATGTACAATAAACATCAAAGTTTAAATTCAAGTAACTTCATAAACGATACATTAATTATTTGCTTATATTGTTCTTCACAGGTAACTGAAAACGACACTCTGCCGTTGCAATTATGCGAGCGTTGCGCAAACATTCTGGTAGCCTGGCATGAATTAAGCGAGGGGTGTCTAAACGCAGAGAAGAAGCTGTTGAATATGCAAGATTCACAACTACAAAATAAGCAGCAGGTAAAAAGTTTATGAAGAGATTAAAGAATCTCTGATTAAGATTACAAAACTAATAAAAATTTCTTAGTTCAATCTACTAAAATTCTAATAAGAATTTTGAATAATAATTTTCAACCATACTCAAAAGTGATCCTATAGTTTGTAGCAAAAATTATTTAGGTACAAAAATTAACTAAAATAGATAAATTTCTAACAGGTACTGTGATATTGGATATTTTTTGCATTTAATCATATAGATTAGATAACAGATAGAATTTTTAGATTTATGCTATAAATTTTATGCATATGATATTTAATTTTCTATTATACAAAAAACAGCAATAATACTAGTTGGAGCAGCAAAATATTTTTTTTTGCATACAGAATTCCAGTTAGTTTAACTAAACATTTTTCTCTGTGTCCTATTCTGAGAGTTCAAACAAAATAATGTAATATGTAATGATAACATTTGTTTGAATCAAAAATTGTAAAAGGCATACAAAAATGATACTAAGGCTCACTTTTAACTATATACAGCTTTTCTTATTCATTTGTATTTAATATAACAAGATAAAAGATTTATTGCCTCATTTGTTTTTTTAGAATTTAAATATATTTCTTTTTTTTTTAGATCTAACTCTTCATTTACACTCTTTGTCATTACATCATAGTCATCGAGTTTCTTTAATCTACTACTCCTGACTAATTTTACATCTTTAGAAAACATAATATTTCTGTCATAGATATTTATTCTATTCTGTTCTCCATATTCATTTTCTCTTCGTGTTACTTTGCTCTTAAAACTTTTTTGTAATCAATTATTTTATAATCTTTGCTTTTTTATTAGCAAACTGTATAATATTCTAATTATATATTTTAAATGTTTTTCAGTATTACAATCCTTCTTTGGATAATTTAGAAGTTACTGTACCAATGTTTACGACAGCCAGTACGACCATTGCGTCCAGTGTAACAGATCCACCAGTAAGTGTGATAAAACTAAAAAATAATCCTTTTGATCCAGAAACATAAAAAGAAATTTAATTAGAACGTGTTATTACAGCCAAATCAGCAGGATGATGACAAAAATGGAGTTTGCAATGCAGAAAAGATTAATAAATCTGACAGGTAATGATTTCATATATTTTTTCATCATTTGTTAACTATACAAAAAGAGCACGAAGTTCTCTTTTTCGCTATCTGTTCCTCATTTGTATAAACGTTTGCTCATAGTCGCCATATTTTTAGCATGTAGATAATAGAATATTAGAATATAATGCGAATAATATAAGTGTCACGTAAAGCTTGTCAAACATTTTCCGTGTACCTTACGTAAAGATGAAGACAACGACTACATACGAGCAATCGTGATACGCGTTATAACAAACTATGAAACTCGGTGAGCCACTTTTTAAAAGAAAATATAAAAACTGAACAATTTGCCGGCGTTGGATATGCCAAGAACATTTTTGCGACAACTTAACGAAAGATTTAGAGCAAAGCATAGAAAAAGAAAGGTAACGCGCTGTAACAGCTGGGGTGGTTGGCTTTAGCGATTATCTAGAAAAAAAAAACGGCTATGACAGCCGATTCAAAATCGCTCGCAATCGTCCGCTGCGTTGTGCCGCGCAATCGCAAAACCTGGAGTCAAGTTTCGGCTATTTTACAGGTTGTGCGACGTCCGGACACCGTTAAAAGTGTCCCCGGACACGCCGAAAGCATTTTGGAAGCCATACAGGAAACAATCCCAGCCAAGAATCGAGAAGCTGACAAAGCCGAACGCGATGTCTGAGGATTCTGACTCGGTTTGGATCGCCGTCATGGACACGGCGCACGATCAACCGTCTACCGTGTCGGAACAACCGGAGAGTAACAATCAGTTGCCTGTTGAAGTGAAGGAAGAATCTGTTTTAATACAGCATTCTATGAAAAATTCTGAATTTGAGGACAACAAGGAATTTCTACCGACCACTGTTGCACACGAGGTGAAGAAAAGCGAGAGAGATCACATTTCTTTTAACGACAACTCGGTTATCGTCAAACATTTGACACTTGAAAAGGAGAGTAAAGATCTGTGCAACATTCTTGGAAAAGCGTCGCATAAAGAGGACACATTTCAATGCGACCAATGTGGTAGATGCTTCAAGTTGAAAGACTCGTACGTGCGACACATGAGAATCCACAAGGACGAGCGACCGTTTACCTGTCATGTGTGCGGCAAACAGTTCCGCGATTCTGGGGGACTGACCAGGCACCTTAAAGATGTACATGCGAAGCTGAAGAACTTTATTTGCGACCTATGCAACAAATCATTCGCGTCCAAGGCGACACGAGACGATCATCGACGTATCCACACAGGCGAACGACCGTATATTTGTGATTCATGCGGAAAGGCCTTTAAATCCAAAGCATCCTTGTACATCCACGGCAAGCTACACACCGATGTGTTCCCGTATACGTGTACGTACTGCAACAAGAAATTTCGTCGGCGGCAAGAGCTGTTGGCCCATGTGTCTACGCACACTGGTGAAAAAAACCACGGGTGCGACGTGTGCGAGAAGAAGTTCCGGGTCAAATCCGAACTCGTACGACATAAGCTCATTCACTCCGAAAACAAGCCGTTTGTCTGCGTTAATTGCGATCTCGCTTTCCGTCAGAAGCGCTATTTGAATAATCATATTAAGAGTCGGCACAAATCTCTGTGAGCGTCCTAACGATAAGGAGCGTTATAAATTTAAATCGAAAGGATATTGTGGCCCTCTCTCCTTCTCTCTCCTCTATGTAGACACGGCTTTTTGTGATCACGCCTGCGACAAAACCGATTCAAATCTGCCGCCTTTGTTGTTTTTCCAGGTGCGAGCTGGCAGAGGAGAGATCTTTCACTCCGTACCATTCTTCGTGTAACGCTACACTGTGGATGAGTAATTCCACGATAAAGTACGAAAACAATTCGATGAGAAGCATAACACTGATTGCAGAGAATGCTAAAGAAATTTCGGAAAGAAAGACACGCAATTTGTCGGGTAATTGCAACGTAGAAAAATATGACGAAAAAATAGACTTGAACGTTTCAAAAGATAAAAAAAATGAATTGACAATTCCACAGTCAACGAGTGAATCTATGGAGAAGGATTACACTTGCGATCATTGCCAACGTGTCTTTAAAAGAAAACACCATCTAATACACCATATGACGAACTGCAAACATTACGATTCAGCCAAAAAACATTTGTCAAGAACGCGTAGTAAAGCGACAGAAAAGAAAAAGAAAACAGACAACAATACGATAAAAAAGAAAGACCGGTTGGTAGAAAATATTAAAAGCACAAACGACGATGAAAAATCTTGCCTTCCAACAGTAAAACCATCGAAAAAACGGTTCAGAACTTATCCATGTGGCTATTGTGAACATACCGCGGAGAAAAAGAAACTATTAAAAATCCATCTAGCGGACGCGCATCCTGAAGTCGTAAATAGAAGTCGGAAGTCCTTTGTGGCCACAGAAACTGTCCTCCGCGCCCGGATAGAGCACGACGATAAGATTTACTATCATTGTAGTGAATGTGGCAAGAATCTGAATTCACCGTACACCTTCTACTGGCACTTGCGCATCCACACGGGCGAGCGATTATTTACCTGCCACCTATGTGGTAAACGGTTCCGCGTGAATCAGGGTCTGACACGACATTTGAAGGATACTCATGCTGGTATCAAGAACATACCATGCGATCTGTGCGGCCGCATGTTCTCGACGCGGCGCAACGTCGAGGATCACAGACGCATTCATACCGGCGAGCGACCGTACGTGTGCAACGTCTGTGGAAAAACGTTCAAGCAGAAGGCCTCCTTGTTTGTACATAATCGTACGCATTCAGACGTATTCCCATTTAAATGCAGTTACTGCGGTCAGACCTTCCGCACGCGGCCACCGCTGATGGTGCACATCACTAAACACACTGGTGAGAAGCCGCACGCGTGCGATGTGTGCGGTCGTCGCTTTCGCATCAAGTATGAACTGAAGCGGCATCGATTGGTTCATTCGGACGAGAAACCCTGGCGCTGCACCGAGTGCAGCCTCTCGTTCCGCCAAAAACGCTACTTAGTTAATCATAAGAAACTTAATCACGAGACACCACGAGGTTTGGCCGCTCCCCAAGTAACGGGCTGACTCTCTTTTCAGATGGACGCATCGATTGTCGAAAGATGAATCGGAGAAACACGCACAAGTCAGCTCGCCAAGAAACGAGCATTCTGAAGGACACGTTAATGTCGGAAAAGCTCGACCAACAGTATCCAGCAAGAAATGTCTCTCATCGACGTATCTTAGCGATTTCGACGAGAAATTGAAAAGAATCAATTCGGCAGATTTTCTAGACAACTCGGATCAAACGCAGAAGCCTCAAGAGAAACAAACGATGAATTCTCAAGAATGTACACAACGATCCAAACAATTATTAAAACAACGCGCCAAATTAACTCGCTTGAAAACGACGGAGGGTAACAGGAGTGCCTCTCACAAGTGTGAAGAGTGTGGGAAAGTTCTTTCCACGTCGTATAATCTGCTAATTCATCACAACATTCACGCTGGCGTGCGACCCTACACTTGTTCTATTTGCAACAAGAGTTTTCGATCAGCGTCCGGTCTGAATAGGCACGTGCGCGACGTCCACGACGGCATCAAAAATTTCGCCTGCGATATTTGCGGCCGTCATCTTGCCTCAAGAGCATCGAGGGACGAGCATAGGCGCACTCACTCTGGTGAGAGACCTCATATATGTGAAACCTGCGGCAAATCCTTTAAGCAGAAGGCGTCTCTACACGTCCATCGACTCTACCATTCCCAAGCCCTACCATATCGTTGTGTTCTATGCGACCGCGGTTTTAGAAGGAAACAGGAATTGGACAAGCACGCAATCTGGCACTCTGGTCAAAAGCCGTATGTCTGCGATATTTGTGACGAGCGTTTTCGCAGCAAAGGTTGCATCACCCGTCATCGACGCACTCATATCAATCAGCAATTGCATATTTGCGCAATCTGTGGAGCCAAGTTCACTCAGGAACGATATCTGAAGAGACACTGTGGCAGTTTACACACGACTGTACGCACATAAAAGACAAGATGCAGAATTCGTTTTTAAACGAATTAAATTATGGAACATTTGCCGATCATTAAACTTGATGGTCAACACAAATTTTTTTTAGCATTTTTAAAATTAGATGAAAAACAAAAAGAAGAGCTAAATATCCCTTTATCTTACAGAAAAATCATTCGTATTGATTTCGTTCTGTTTTCTATATCAGTATTGAAGGGAGTTTTATGCATTAAAAAAACCACGCAGAGATTGATACTTTTCTTTGTGGTTAAAATAATCTCAAATTTTTTGACAAAAGTATGATTAAAATCATAAATGTAGATAAATAAATAATTGCTTATATGTTACTAAACAAGAAGTACATATTTGAAATTACTGAGAAACGATATTCTTTGAAATGCTGGATAAAAAGAATTTAATATCTGACAATTCTCAAGTTCGTCAAATAATACAAAAAGAAGCTGAGCAAAGGAAACTGTAAGTAAATTTCATAAGAATGTATCTTGCAATTATTAAAGAAAATTGATAAATATATTACGTTAAATTTTAAAAATATAAATTTTTTATTTCGATGCACATTGTCTGCAAATAAAATTTTCTTTTCGCAAACTTTACGATTTTGTAATATAATTATACATGAAACTGACTGAAAGAATATTTATTAAATATTTCTCTTTAAATATCTTTAATATACTATATATATATAATATATAGAAAGTAATGATATGGTAATAAAATTATAAGCTTGTCAACAAAAGTGGTTACTTTTTATTTTTACAGATCAAAAAATCAGGTCATCATACACGACCGGATAATCGGCCACAGTTATTGCCAACGAGTGAACAAGATTGGAGAACGAAAAAGTAAAATCAATCCGATCCAAATTAAAACGTCTAATGTAATCGATGAAGATTCAGAGAATGTTTTTTTTCCTACAGATAATATCGATAACGATAGATTAACCAAGTATTCGTCTTCCACAAATACATCGTTTAAAATGTCCTCCTCAGATAATTTGACAAATGACAATAAGAAGAAGAGTATAGAAGAGGAAGATTCTAATTCTACTAGTCAGACGCGAGCAAATTGCGCGAAAAGGACAATACCAAACGAGGCTACGCGACAGGATCTTACGGCGGAAATAAACGAGTCTAATGAATATCTAGAGAAAAACGTCAAACAATTCAAATCCAAAAAAATTGTCTGCACTAGCCCGACGATGGTCTGCAAATTTTGTAACAAGAAATTTCATTCGCGCAAAAACCACTGGGCTCACATACGCACACACTCTGGCGAGAAATCGTACACGTGCCACATTTGTGGGAAGCAATTTGTTCAAGGTGGTAGTCTATATTATCATCTGAAACACGTACATGACGGCGTAAAGAATCACACGTGTGATATATGCGGTCGCAGCTTTGCCATGAAGACCGCCATGGAGGACCATCGACGTATCCATACCGGTGAACGCCCGTACGTGTGCCATACGTGTGGCAAGACGTTCAAGACCAAAGCATCCCTCTATATACACAGTAAGATCCATACAGACGAGTTCCCGCACAAGTGTACTTATTGCGCTAAAAAGTTCCGTTGGAGACAGCAGATGCTGGGTCATCTGACAGTACACACAGGTGAAAAGAATCATACGTGCGATGTATGCGGTAAGGGTTTTGGCGTGAAGAACGATCTAACTAGGCACAAACGCGTCCATTCCGAGGAGAAACCGTATACGTGTCAGAAATGCGGTATTAGCTTCGGTCAGAAACGTTATCTCAAAAGTCACGAACGCTTAAAGTTAGGGATGTGCGGGTACTCGCGAAGTGAACTTCGAGACTTGTGTGAAAATCGTAACGAGTCCGATTAGTGTCATCGAATTCAAGTTGGGATTGGATAAATAAAAAATTTAGTTAATACAAATGTTCCTAACATTAAAAAGTTTAAGCTGATCGAAAGGTCTATGATAATTCTAAGTACTCGTGCAAATGTATTTAAGATATAATATATACAGGGTAGTCCGTTATTGATGTTACAATTGAAAGGATAATTCTAAATGGAAAAATATAAAATAGAATCACATATATAAACATAAAGTAGAATTTTTTAATATAAAATTCTGTTTTAAATTTGAATAATTTGTAATTATAATTTGCTGTATAAATTATAATAGACAATTAAATGAATAATTAGTACTTATAATTATTAAAATAATTTTGCAAGTTATCTTCGTGTCCATTCATAAAACGCTAACATTTCGTGAACATTGTACAGTATCAAGCTATTTTTTACCTTGATGAAGTGAACTGCAATGTACTCGAAACATAGGCATTCTAAGAATGGATTTGGACACGATGATAAACCATGAAACGCATCATTTTTATAGTAATTATTTTATAAATATTAATAATTATATGATTTATATAAATGTTTGAGAAAAACATACGGGTCGTCTGAATAGTTTGAGCCTCAACATGAAATTGATATTATTCATCAAAACTGTTTTGATACTATAATCGTATGTACTTACACACGGCGTCACTAATGCCTAGCTATTTGAATATGTAGGAGTATCGAAGCATGTTCAAGACGCGCGTTCCTTTCACAGATAACACACAGTCTCACTTTAGTGATCGCCATAGCAAAAATTTACGAATTGCTGTCCGAATTGATTGAACACCCATCATATTTATCGGATCTGATCCTCAGTAATTTTTTCCTATTTTCTAGGCTTAATTTTGGTTGGAAGGACAAAGATTTTCATCGAATGAGGAGATCATCGCAAAATAGATATCCGTAAGATACCTATTTTGCAAAGCAAGACGCCAACTATTATTTGAATGAGTTAAAAAGGTGGAAGATCGCTGGAAAAAGTGTATTGACTTAAGGGAGGATTCTGAAGCTTGATTTTTAGGCTATTTTCATGAATTTTTTCCGAAAAATTTGTAAGGTATATTCAAATCAGGGTTTTTTGTACATATTAGTATATTTCAATCTTTCAGAATTTTTTTATTGTTATATTTCAAAAAATAAGCTCTATATAATAGTTTTTGTCGGATCGTGAAAAAAATAAGGCGCCTCACGGTAATGATTACGGCTATTCTGTTCGTTTGAAACAAAAAAATACCAAAGAGATTCTTAAAGCATATGAGTTTGACTATTGTTTGACCCAAGATGAAAAAAATATTAGACAGAAAAAAATGGCTTCATTTTGAAAATTACTTTCCGATTTTTTCGAATTTTTTTCATCTTTAAAATGCTGTAAAATAAATAAAAATAAACATTTAGACTTTATTGTGGTTCAGACGAGAACTATGATATATGGGGCTAAAGATGTGCGCAAAATTTGGTCGCGATTGGTCAAATAGATTTTGAGAATCATGGTCACCAATTAAGAAAATGCTGTTTCAAGAAAAATGCAATTAAAGTTTTTTAACTGCTTACGTAGAAATAACACTCGAATAATGTTACAATCAATCTGCTATTCCAGAATCATAAAGGGCACCTTTTTCCTTTTCGTACATATCCACATGTCCATTTTACTGCGTAAAAGTATACGAAATACATATTTGACATACGAAGAACTTGCTTGCGTTCACTCGTATCAGGCATTACATCTCTGTAACCTTTGCAAATTCGCAAAATCCTTTTACGTACTTATTCTACAACCCAAATACTTGCGAAAAATGCAATACAAACATTGATTTTTTTTACCCTTTAGATCAGAATACCTCTTAACAGGAGACTATGTTGAAATTTGAATTTGATTGAAAAAAATATTTATTTCTACGTTAGGCTCCAAATTTTTCAGACGACCCTCGTATAACTTTTTGACATATTTTACTTCACATAGAATTATTCTTTTCCTATTTACATCTGTAAATAACGAAGAATACAATGTAATATACAGCGTGTGTATGTTAGTATATTTTTCATATGCTAGTGATATCTAATAATAGTAATGCGATGCAATATAATGCAAAAATTTAATAGATAAAAATATTTTAAAATTTCATAAATCAAAACCAAATTTTTAATTGTAAATAAAGCATGAGAATAGTAGACATGTGACAATATTGTATTAAATGTATTGTATTAATTTTATAAAAAAAACTGACGTTTAAGGAATGATATAGAATCAATTAAATGTATCTGGAGACACGGTAGTGTTTCGGCGCTAAGCCAGGCGCGCCCGACACTGCCGTGGCTACTTTACGCGAATCTGAGAATTTCGTATAATATATACATGTGTGTGTGTGTGTGTGCGTGCGTTCGTGCGTGCGTGTGTACAAATAAATACATGTGTGTAGGTGTTATAAAAGAATATATATATATATTATATGTGCATATAGATATGACATGTGATATTTAAAAATAGATCTTCCTTCATTAGGTACTATTAAGTAACTCATAAAAAGAGAGAGAGGGAAGAAGAAAGAGTGTATGTGTGGGGGGAGTGTATGTGAAAGAAAAAAAAATAAGTATAATATATTACATGTAAAATAAAAAAAAACATTCCTATGTGTATGTATAAAATATTTTGTAAATGAAAAATGATTAAAGAAAACAAAAGTCTGTAGCTTATTTTTGTTAAAGAATCAATGTGCTTCAAAAATTTTGTACAATAAGTATATCATTATGTTTAGTTTTTATAATAAAATAATAAAAAATCGCTGTTTTATTCAAATAATCTTTTATTATAATAACTGCATTCTATTCAACAAGAAGTTTACCCTTCTCCATGAGAGGTGATATAGTAAGCAAAGTATGGACGTGTCTAGAAGTATCATGTACGTAAGTACGACACGCTTGGATCAGTGCTTAGAAAATCGAACGGGTAAAATAATTTCAACATCTCCACTTTGCTTGCTGTGTCTTTTATGCACGAAGCACGAAGGGAGGTAACTATCTCTTTAAACAAAATATAGGTTTATTTTACCTATACTTTTTATTTTATACTATTTTACCTACGTTCCATTTAACGTTTACAACGCTCATGGAATCATTTAATCTTTTTTAACGAATTTGATCTTTTATACTTATTTCATTTTTGTGTTGATTATTAAATATTAAACAAGAATAAATGTCAAATGGAACGCATATTTGTAATTAAAAAAATAGCAATAACGAACTTCCAACGTATCTGTAGAAACTTTTGTAGAAACTAATATTAATGACTGCGGAAAAAATGTATAATAAAAAATACGTAGATGTTATAATTAAAACATACAATCATAATTTTTAAAAATTATAAATAAACACTAACCTGTGTAATTACATTTTCAGACGAGATAAATAATAAAGAAAAAGTAGGACAAGAGTATCTTAGCTGTGCGTGATCATGGGTTCAAAAGGAAATAAACAAAGAAACTTGTATTCCGATATGACATTTTTTACGATATATTTTTGCAATAAGGGTTGCGTGATTTGTACAATTATCTACATAATTATATCGATCAACAACTTTCGAAGTTCGGAATATAAAGTTTAGTCTCCATCGTGTATACATATATATATATATATATTATATATATATAAAAAATTGTTTCTAAAATCGATTGTTTGTTTCTAAAATCAATTGTTTGTATCTTAAATGCGTTCAGGAAGTATACGAGAAAAAGTTTATACTTATTCCAGTCGTTCAAGTTTGTTCGAGTAGGTCGACCGCTCGCATTGCGATATTGGGCTTTCTTTTGTAATTTCTTTTACAATTTAAATTATAAAATTGATTATTACCGCCCAAACATTTATATACATAATATATATGTATATGTACATCACGTTTACGAATCTCTGGTCACAAAGAATTGGAAAGGACAAAAATAAGATCTCGGAAGGAAGACAAAAAAATACGGACTAAGAAAAAATCTGCGATCACAAAGAATATCACCTCTTACAAGTGCGACATTATTTTTTTTTTAAAGGAATTTGCATTAACTGAACATGGATATGACAACAATATTAGATGCAGAACGCAGAACATCCGAAAGGCTTCTGCATTTTATTCGCATGATTCAGTGCAAGAATATCTGCCCCATATGTAATCTTCAATTTTTTACAAAAACGGATTTGAATCAACATGTAAATGAAAACCATGCCAGGACGTTTTTCACCTGCGATTGCTGCAACGTAATCTGCGCTACTTGGCTAAGATATCTGCAACATAATAATTATGTTCACAGGCACATAGTATTTTGTCCTTATTGCTATAAAGCGCATACGAATTATTGGAGACTGAAATTGCATTGGAGAATGCACGGTAAGAAAATATATTGTTATCCGGCAACTACGACAAACAATTTTTCGAATCAAACATATAATAAATTTGTTTACATACAGAGCCATTCGAGTGCGAATTATGTTACAACACGTTTAAAACACTATCAAATTTAAGGGATCATCACCTCTCGCTGCATCATGAAGTGTCATTCGATTTACCGTATCTTCCACCACAACGAGCTCCAATACAAAGAGAAGAATAAATTACAAAGAATAAGTATAATATACGAAGGGCATTTATATATATAATTTTAACAATATTTTCTTCAATTAAATATTAAAAATGCCTAATTTTGATAATATTTAAGACGCTTATTTACGTATATAGCTCAAACAAATAAATTATGTCTTAATATTTCGATATTTGCACCTTTCTACACGATTAGAGCGATTGTAAATTTGCTAGATTTATCTAGCATTAGCATTCGAAGAAGCAAAGTTTACATATAAACAGAACTTGTTTATTGTTAAATGTCTATATATATGAAAAATATTTAGACGAGATATAAGAAAAAAAATGTATACATTTGTCGGTCAAATTTAACATCACAAAATTTCTCGAGCCTTCATACGTTCTGCGATATTGTGCTTATGGACTTTCTAAATTTGCAATCTATTGTAAAATTATTGTATATTGTATCAGATTTTACATATCAACTCGTATACAAAGACTTTAGAAGAAATAATCTGTCGTAAAAAAATTCGAGAAATGAAAAATCGAAAATCTTCCAAAATAAAACTACTCGTTAACGACGTCTTATCTGCAAAAGAAATTTGTATTGAATCATCGTTGCCATTATGGGTGCTCTCTTATCAAATAATAGAGAAAAAAGAGATTTCAAGCTTCTGCGTTCTGTCCTTATGATTCGATCCCGGAACGTCTGCTGCAAATGTAACACTCATTTTGACATAAAGAAGAATTTGGACAAACACATGGAAAGAGTCCATGCTGGAACATCTTACACGTGTGATTCTTGCGATTTAATCAGCTGGACTTGGTCCATGTTCCAACAACATATTTATGCATGTCACAACGATGTAATATTTTGTCCTTATTGTTATAAAGCGCATGACAATTATTCGAATTTAGTTACGCACTGGAAAACGCATGGTAAGAAGAAATATTTTTGCCTATACAAACTATTTTTATGGATTGAATATCTATACTACATAAAGAATTTGCAATTTTTGTACGTTTTCAGAACCGTTCGAGTGCAATATATGTAATAATACATTTATTACTCAAAAAAGTTTGAGGAAACATCGTTTTGCATTACATTAGAACGTATCATTTCGACGAATGTTTCTCCGACATCATAAAAAGACAAATCAAAAAGGCGTAAATGCATGAGAGAAACGCTTACTTTGATTTCCGTTTGTGTTAATTGCATTCAGAAATGTATTTATAGATATTTTAAGATGACTTTTTATACAAGAAGAAAGTATAAAATACATTTAAAATATATGTTTTATAGATATTGAACTGCGTGTTCTGATTCGTAATGACTTAGCATAAATTAATAGCCTAATTGACAATAGTTTAAAAAATATAACGTTTGTTTTCTTTGACTCTAATAGATCCTATACAATGTTAGAAATGTTCTTAAATTTCATTAATATTTAATACACACCTTTAAAAATTTTATGAAAATTAATGTATTTATACGTTACACAATTTAAATTTAATTTCATGACATTATATTAAATTATTGAATGTATTTGTAACACTAAAAAGTATATTTGTATACATATACATAAAATTTAATGTATTTTTTATGAAATTTTATGAAATTTCATGTACTTTTCTTGAAATTTTATGAAATTTAATATTTCACATGTTTATTATATTTAAATAACTACTGTATAATAACTCAATTTTTAGTTAAATCAATTATTACTTTTAATTTTGTGCATAATCACGAGCTTTATTTACATGTAGAGGAAGCATTTTTAACAGATAGCACTAAGTTCTAATATGCTAAATTTAAAGAAAACCTACTTTCATATGTACATAAAAATTTGTAAATAAAGATTGATTGTAAAGTTCACAGGTCTGACATTAATCCTTTTAAAGATAAATGAACTTCAAATACCTTTCAAAACTCATAAGTGTCTTATCTAATTAAAAATATTTATATCCTCTCTTTTTCGGTAATTAATAATCGAAATGTAGCTTAGTTACAAATTAATAATGAATTTTTAATATGTTTGTTATACAACTAGCATCAACAAGTGCGAAAAACTTATACACCGTGTTTAAAAAATCTTTATATGTATCCATATATATATATATATATATATATATATGTAAATTCTATAAATAATAATAAAACATTTGCGTATAAAGTAATAATTATATTTTAAAGTAAAAATTATATTTCTAAAAGGAAACTTGATGACTGTGCATTTTTGATTGAAAAAAATCAAAGTTAGGTTTATAGTGCTAAGTTAAAAAGTAAAAAAATAAATTAATTTTATAACTATATTTAATTATACATTTTAGACTTAATTTTCTAACTTATAATATAATTAAATTTTATCGGTAACTAATAATAATTAATTTTTACTCTTACAGCACCAAAAGATTACAGAAACATTGCATAAATCTTGCATTGAAACATTGTAATATAATATGTAACGTACATGCATACGCTTTAATCATATAAAATCAACAACTCTGAATTAGTTTTTAAATGATTAAAGTTAATACTGATGAAGATAATACTGATAGCGATTTCGCAAAGATATATGAACAAGGATTTTATCTTTCATTTTAATGTATTAATTTTTCAGCGTTATTATTATGATAATTTTTAGTCTTTATAGGAAAAACATATATATATATATATATATATATACTTAAAAAAAATATAAAAATAGAACGACTTTTAACATTTACGTAAAAACTCATATAATTTCACATTACACAACATAACATGAACGAATCTGTACTTTTAAATAATGATCTATATATACATATATATACTATTTTTAAAAAAGCTTCGATATCTAGAGAACAATTTTTGCTAGTTTGTTTCCTTTAATCAGAATAATTTAGAAGTTTACGTCTGGGTCACTAACAATCCGTGTATGAACTATGTACTTTTTTATAGAATAACAAAATTTTTATTTTTTTATATCCAACTAATTTTTGTTTCTATTGTTTAAATATTTTGCGAATTATAAAAAAAGAATTTAATGAGTTTGTTCGTATTGTTTAAAATTTTGTCATTTAAAATAGGATAAATATATATTCAGACGTTGAAGAGAGAAAAATATTAGTAATATTATAAAAAATTATGAACATTTTTTTAAACAAATTTTAAGTTCTTTTTAATACAACAGCAATAATAAAATGTGTACATATATTCGTGTATATTTAAAAAAAAAAACAATATTTTCAGATTATTAAATAACTAAACTTTTTGGACAGCTGTCTGAATTATTTCTTTTGTAGTCTGGAATTACAGTAGTATTCATTATATATTTTGTAATTTGAAATCAACTTTAAAATATCGAAACATATTTTTCCATTAAACATTTTTATTTCAGAGTTTTACAATTTTATGTGTAAAAGTGCATTTTTCTTATTTTACTGACTATAATTAATTATAACATTTATGTACAATTTTTTTTTATGAATACATACACACCACTTTACAAATAAATACTTTTTAAAGACATCAAAATACATAAGAATTACTTAACAACTTTTACTTGTAAAAGTGAGATAAAATTATAATATATTTAATAATATCTGCAAGAAAATTTACACTTTTGAATCATTGTCTGAATAAGCCCTTATCGTTTCTCATAGTTTTTTAATGGTAATTTATTCAAGATTTAACAAGTAACAAACTTTTAATAAAACTGTACATTGTTACTAATACGTGTCAAAAATTTGTATATATTTCGAAAGTTTGCATAGAAGACGTTATAGTTGGAACAACCTTGCACGCGCACGTAATACATCGAAAACTATTTATAAATGAATCCGCCATCGTATTATTGCTCGAAATAAGTTACCCAACATGCGACGTCCACACTTCTGATGACGTTTGCGTACATGGTGTCCAGAAAAAAATGTGTTTTAGTGTTACATTTAAATAAATTTATATTCTTACCCTAAATTTCTTTAATTTAAAAGTTTTTGCAAAACTTTTTAAAGACATTGATTATTGTAACCAGCTTTATTTTTTGATAAGCTTGTCTCAGATTATCTTTTATTAAAAATTTTCGCCGAAATATATTTTTTAAAAATTAACATTTTATGTGCAAAAATATTTTACCTAAATGGTGTGAATAATAATAATTAGATAAATTTATAAAATTCTCATTAAGCAAAAGCCATGTGCGGACTCGATTAGAAAACAAACTCTCACTGTTATATTGTTTATTGTTTCTTCCTTTTGTTTCCTTATTTTCCTCCACGCAAAGGAACCGAGATGAGAACAACGCGCACGCTCTTCACGCAAAAATAAAATAAACGGGACGTCAAAGAGGCGGACTGTAAAATATATCTGTGGGGTCCCACGCAATTTGGCGACGACGGAGACAGCGGAAAACGGTCAGCTCTATCGTCTTCATGATCAAAACTCGACGCGAGATTTTCCTACATAGTGACAAAAGTGTGGTTTAAGTGGACGTATCGCATGAAATCTCATCAAAGATTCAGCATTCATTCAATAATCTTGTTATCAAAATAATGTGACTACTGTATTGGTGATCAATTTAATTAACAGAAGTAGATCGTTTTCGACATATGATTGAAACTTTCGTGCAAATAAGATACGGAGAAATATATCTTGTATATTACAAGATTTTGTTGATTTAATGAATTTAGAATTTAATCATGCTTTTACGATTTATGTTTTATGCACTTATTTGAGCTAGAAATGCACGAATGTGATTTGGTTGGGTTTGTATAAAAAAAAATCTAGGTCGAGCTTCCGTATTTTGAAGCTGTTCAATATGCACGATTGTACGAGAAGAAGAATTTAATCTAACAGATACAACACGATAAAAGATGATAGGAGAAATCTATCAGTAATACATTTGAACAGATTTCTACAAAGAACTCCTCGCGAGAATGCAGCGAGTTCTCAGTTTTCAAATGACTCGGAATATTGGCGAGTCCAGTGAATATGTGACGAAACGATTATGTTTTTCGTTTCTCTTCTCGGTTGGTTTTTTGTGTCTTCTATGCGGTTTTCTGCTGGGCCGCTTTGCCGTTGAAAGATCGTTGGAGGCCCAGGCACAAAAGATACGAAGTGAATTGGCCGGAAATGGTCTCCGAAGCACAGAGTACCTTCAGCAAGTAATGCTCCAAGAATTGGAAAGAGCGCCGTTCGACTATGATCGCATGACGTACATTACCTTAATATCTTATCCATTTATATATGATAATATATCTGAATATATTCTTACTTTATATATGACAATATATCAAAATATAATACCATAGTAGATTAATTTTTGTGAAAATTTTAATTAGAAAATTATCAAATTAAATTCTTTATTAATAAATATTCGTTATTTTTAATTAGAAATAAACAGAAGTCGAATGAAGATATGCAACGCATAAGTGGGCTCTTTTCCAACTTGTCACTCATTCATAAGGTGTACAACCATGCATCATGCATTCGCGTGACTATCCGTGGTTCACAAGAACCAGGTGTGCTCTTAATGCTTTAACTATATTTACTTAGATAAAAAATGAAGAATTTACTATATCGATTTTTAAACAGTTTTTTTTGTAAAATTAAGTTCTTTCTTAATATACTACTTAATATTAGCAAAAATAATGTAATTATCAAAAATTCAATTTTACAGACATTTACAGATTTGTGGACACTTATACGCTTTCAGCGCGTATTTATTATGTTTTTACCATTTATTAGACGTAAAATAAGGGGCATACTATCTAATTAGAAATTTCGAAAAAAAACGATTTTTTTTAAACATATTTCTTCTAAAACTAAGTTTTACGATATAATAATCAGATTATTAGATATACGTATTATAAAATTTTAGATGTCTGAAGCTAGAATCGAATTTAGCCACTCTGAAAATCCGTAAAAAACAAGTTTTCTTTGTTAGAAAGTTCCCATTCTCAAAAGGTTAAAACGATCATGTTTAAAATAGGCTAGTTTGGAAGTTACTTGACATCCAAAATACTTATCGTGTGTCTTCTGATTTTATTATTGCATATTTACTTAAAAAGGAAAACAATGCCTTTTATCTTTTCTCTCTTCTCTACCTCTCAGGGCTTCCATTTATTCTACCGAATTGTTTCAGATAGATATATTATTCTATCCGTTAATGAAGACGGTATCGCATTAGTTCTGGAATTGGCGCAAGTTCTAGATAAATTATGGTTAGGGCATAATTGGCGACCACGACGAAGTTTAATCCTTTGCATGTCTTTTACGTCCTCGTACATTTGCCCACAGGCTCTGCCTACATTTATGTGGCGAAAAGCCGTAGCTTACGTGATGGTGCACGGTCGTTTCATGCGAGGTTTGCTCGAATTTTTTTACCTTTGCGTTATGAACTGGATAAAGAATATAGTATAAGGAATTATCTTATTTTAGCCAACAGTCATGCGGCTTTATCTGGATCAGACATCATGCGATCCATAGCTATTGAAGCTATTAGGACAATACCCGGTGGTAATAACTGGACATACCTCGAACACGAAGTATTCAGTCCTCGGCTTTCTTTAGATATTCCACAAGTGATATTTTCGTTCGTAAGTAGTCTCGTTTCATGCAAATCTCTTTCAAATTTCAATTAATATATAAAAAATTTCTCTATTTTTATAATACAGAATGATAATAGTTCTATGCACAATCATCACAATCAAAATTCCCGACTACACGACGTAACTCTGGTTCAGATGATTAGCCAAACTATATGGCGACTGTCCGAGTGTATAGTTATTCAATGGGAAACGAAATATTTTAACAAAACTGTTAATGAAATATTGGAGTCTATCGACTCTAGCAAATTTCAAGACGCAAAAGGTTTTTTTGTTATTTCTTTCAATTTTATTAATTTTCAATAGAAATGTTAAAGAGTCTGAATTAATCGTTGCTTTTCTATGTTGCACCTTCAGAGAAACTGAAGAAAACGTTAAGGATATTGCTTACAGCCGTGGAAGAGCTTAATGCAGAAATCGACGCGACCGATAATACTCAGTAAGTATAATAAATTCAGAATTAATTAATGATCAATTATAATTAACAAACCTTATAATGTTTGTATGAAATCAAATCGCTTTCACGAATGTCACAAAAATTACTAGAATTAAAATTATTGAGAAAATTGTCTCATAACATGTCAAGTTAATATAATTATATTTTAATACGGTGGTATTCTAGAATACTGCGTATAAGGATATGGAATGATCTACTTCTAGACCTGGATAAGGCGCTTTTATGTCCTGACCAAACCGATTCGCATTCCAGAACCGATCTAGCGACGTTTCACAAAATGTCACACGAAACCATTAGCGAATCTATCATATTAGCTTATCTCGACCAGATGACAAAATGTTACGAAGATGCTATAGAAATTTTGCAGGAAAGATAGGAAAAAGAAAAACTTCTCTCTTAAGAAAAGAGAAGATATGAGAAACTTCAGAAAATAGATTCTTACAAGATGCCTTCTTGATGTGAATATATATTTTTCATTAATTTCGCAGTCTCAATTGTTTTCTACGCAAAGCAATATAAATGACAAAACGAAAAGTAGTGAGTATAAAGGATCCATAGCTCATTTTTCTATTATAAATAGTATACGAAAATCGTTTTGGCATTTTCTTTGCTTTATCTTATATTATGTTTATTTCTTAGCTATGGGCAATAATAATTTTACAGTTAAGCATAAATAAAATGTATATATCTATCTCTCTGTGTAAAAATTTACAAAAGTAACACATAATATAATACTTATTTATATTTTCTTACACGTAAGCCTAACAGATGCATAGTTTCGCTATCACATTTTATATCTTTTTGGAACTATAAACTATGCAGGATTTATATTCGTAATTTACACCCCTGTATGTGAGAAACACTAAATTCTCTCTCTTCAAATTAAATATTTGAATTTATATTCTGTTCGACTTAAATTAAATAAGAATATTAGTTTTTAAATAAATACTAATTTAAAAGAGTTTTAAATGTAATTCACATACACATTTATGCTCATGTGACATTACTTCAGCTTTAAATCATAAGGATATTTATCTGACAATGAAAATGTCACATATTCATTTTCACATCAAATTACTCCAATCATAATGTAAAATAGTGAATGTGAATAATATCTTAACATCAAATCTGTATTCAGACTTTCTTGATTAATGTAAACTTTATCGTATCCCTCCTATACCATATCGTATTTCTTTTTCGAATTGTGACGCATCAAGAGTACCCTCTATTGCCTCACAATTCGGATTGAAGACAGAATAAGCACTGGGTTCGCCGCGTCGCTTTGGCCCTGATCTGGTGTTTAAACAGATAAAGATCAAAGCAGACAGTATGAAGTAGACAGCACCAAACTCGTACTCCAGCGCGATCATATATAATGTGGCCCACAACAGAAAGTATAATAAATAGATTACACGCTCTAACACTGTATTTTGCGATCCCTGCATGCTATCCTCCTCCTGAATGTCTACCTCCTGAACCTGGACATCCTCTTCGACAACTACTGAGTGTTTGCACAATTTCACCTAGAAACAAAGGAAGAAATTTTTATCTTTCTTGTTCAAAACATTTTTAAAACACAACACACACTTTTCGCAAAGTTCTTGATTCTTTTCCTCATAAATGTCAACTGCAAAATTTAACCTTACCTGTTCCTCCTTTACTGATTCTTCAGTAAAGGAATGCTCGATTTTATCTTCACGATTCCATAAAATTATGTTTCTCATTACGCTCTTGATCGATTCCATCATTTCCTGTCTGCGCTTTTTGCGCCTATATGCTTCCAATCTCTCCTTCACCGTCATCGCGATTGTTCTGATTTCATCGCGACAACACTCAACGCATCAGGTGTTTGCAATTACTGTCTGTATTGCTAGCAAGTAGCAACAGTGGCAATGTGGCAATACGATACACTTCGTGAACATGTAGAAATCGACTAAATGGACTTTCGAGATATCGATAGTTTAGTCGAATTCTGATCGAGAAATCGAAAAATTAAATTTCAATTTCTTTAATTTCCCATTTCTACTAATATAGATTAAGGGCTTCTTTCATTAACTTCTGATTAAATTAATCGCCGATTAACTCGCAGAAGTGCCAACAGCAGTTTAATGTATCAAAACACCTTCTCTCTCTTTCTCTTTCGAGATAAACTGTGTTTAATTCTCACGTTGACAATCGTAAGTTCCGAAGAACCACTCGACCGCGGCGGATGCGTTTCGGGTGCTCTCAATTATATATTTTTTGAAAAGTGTTGCCGACCGTGCCTTGTATTTTCTTTTGATATATTGTTATTTATCTCGCGCGAATCTGGGCGACCTGTTCGTCCTGATGCGCGTGCGGTGTAACGACGTCATAAACGCGAGCGTCCGGTGTCCATTCGGGCTACGTCATTTCGCGAGTATTTCCAGAGCCGGTTCCAGCATCCTTGGCGCCCTACGCAAGATTTAAAAAAGCGCCCCTCCCTCTCATTTTCTCACATTCATATATAATAATATATAATAATAACAAAATTTCGAAATTATTCTGTATTTTTATTTAAACTAAGAAAATATGAACTTTAAATGAAATTTAAAAAATTAACATATATTATATGATATATTTCACATACTTTATCATATACGCAAATGTAAATTGAACAATATAATTTTTATATTAATAACTTAAATACTAAAAAAGATATAACAAAAAAATTTTATTACGGATTGATATTACGTGTAGGTATAGATTCAGGTTTGATTTGTTTGAACATATTTTTTAATCACCAAACAGGGACACGTCTTATTAAGGGCTTATGGTTCGCGTGGTTTGGCTCACCGGTCGCAGTTACTCATAGCCATGTAAACAAAGAAGCAGCGAAATCGCGATGGCGCGAAAGGTGAGCATTTGCGGCGAGTGAAAGAGGACGTCTCACCCGAAACAATTGAAAGATCACCAAATTACGAACAGCGAAAAGTCGCCCTCATGCCTCTCGCCGCTATGCTCGTCGTTCGTGCTTTCGCGACTTCAATGCTCTTTCTTTGTTTACTTTGCTGTGTGTAACTGCCAACGGTGCATCCTATAGATACATCTAGACTGCGTTTGATTTGGCGCTCACGACGCTTGTGAGCAATTGTTTAATATTTAATAAACAATATTGTGAGCGCCAAAGCAAATACAGCAATAGTCAGGGCGAAAAGAAGCGCGACAAGAAAGAAAAACACAAGAGTGAGTTCTTATTTTATATTGACTCAACGCTTGCAAAATTTATTTTTCTAAATATTTTTAAATATTTATTTTAAACATTCAAATATTTTGGCGCTGGAATTTAAGGCGCCCCCGTTTTATGACGCCCCGATGCGCCGCTTACCGTGCTTACCGCCTAAAACCGACCTTGAGTATTTCATCGTCCTCATTATTTACAAGTCGTCACATTTGGCCGTATCGTTGACGTTTGCCGACGGGTGCCATTAAATTAAGAAGAAGAAGAAGTTGGCAATCGTGATGATAGAGTTAACCATTGGTTAGCGTTAATCGGAGTTGGTGAAAGAGACTCTAATTTTAATCTCGGTAATTATTTAATCTATTCAACTAAAGTCTACAGCATATAATACTTGTTTTCTTACTGAATTGCTAGCTGGATTAGATTCTTGTCACCGATAGCTGATACTGTCAGCACCGAACACCGCAGCTAGCTAACACCGTGATGATTCTAACCCAGCTAGAAATCCTTTTTTTTACACAATATTTCAATAATTTATAGATAATTTGATCATTTCTTTGCACATACTTTATCTTATTTTATAACTTTATTTTATTTTATTAAGTTTACATATAAAAATTCATATTTTTTAATTTAATAAAATATTAAACATATATAGATACAGAAAGGACAAATAAATAAATGCAAGTTTCTTTTTTCAATTAAATTGTAATTTCTAAATTTTATTATAGGCAGTAAAACAATAAAATGGAATATATTCGAATACATTTCATTTTATTAAAAAAAAAAAAAAAAAAAGATAAACGAGGATGTTACGTTTTTGTTAATGAAGTATAAGATAATGGTCATTAACTTATACTTTTAACAAAAACGTAACTCGTTTATCTCACCTAGTTATTTACAACTGTCGTTCTTAATAACTGCATTATTGGAAGATAAATATTTCACACATCGTCATAGTCATGCATAGAACAAGACAGCTAAAAACTCATCGCTCTTCGTCATTCTTCTAAGCGCTTGGAACTGGTACATTCTACGATCATACAATAGTGTATGTATAAGACTGAATTACTATCGAATAAGCTGGCTGCTAACAGATGATAACAAGTGATGTGGCAATTTTTCCTTGTTATTCACCTATTTTTGTTCTATTTCTGACCACGAAAAAAACTGAAAAAGATACTAAGGTGAACACAAAATTGGCTTTTACTTACTGACATTAATTTCATTAATATCAATCTAAGTACAAAAAATTGTAACTTTTATATATAATTAATAATTGATTAATTAATACTCAAGGACTATAGATATTTTTTTAATTTGAGATAATATTCACAGATAATAGAAATTATAGACAAAAATAATTCATTAAAAATATTATAAATCTTTGAAAAATTTAAGAAATAAACATCTCTTCTAATGCTTGTTTCTGTAACAACGTGCATTGATAGGAACAGATTGATAAAAACAGGCATTTAAGCTCAACTTACTGCTTTATTTTTTCTAATTCTTACAACAAAAAAATGGAGAGTAAATTAAATAAAGATTCAATTGTTAATCTACTTAGATTAACTTTAATTTTTATTTAATTAACTGTCCATTTTTTTAGTTCTAAGAACTAAAAAAAGTAAAGAGTATGTTGAATCAAAATTGAAGTTAATTTGTATTGGTAGGAAGAGTAACTACAGTTGTATACCAATTCCTGACGTCATGTCAGTGCGAGCAAGATCATGCGACACCAGCCATCGGTCTTGCCAGTCGCATAAAAGTCCTTGGAACGGTTTCACGCGCTTTATGTCACGATTGCCTAGCGGGTCAGAAGACAACATTTGTGATAACGATAATAATGATAAAAATATAAAAAGTATCAGAAGAAGCGTCACCGGCAGCATGGCCAATGGTAACGAGAAGGAGGGTCACGTTCTGGTGCTCTACACGGGTGGTACAATAGGAATGATGAGAAATGAACAAGGAGGTAGTTATTTCATAAAATTTAAGGAATTACATTGCGGATTTCGAAGGACGTAAAATTTTGCACCGTAAAATCTTCATCACCGTAGATTTCAGACACAGCTGGCCTCACGCGTATGGATGTTTTTGACTTTTTCATTTTTTATGAAATCCCATCGATTCGATCTCACGAGGAATCTTTGATTTGTACATCCTTAATTTTTTAGCTTTTTTCTCGTTTCACAGACCATGTATTTTACAAATTTTTAATGTCTTTCGTCTATAGATCGTTGGTAGCATATATTCGTATATAATAATACATTTTTAATGATGGATGAATTCCAATAAAGATTTTATAGATCCAAAGAACAGTTTATTATCGATAATTTATCTTTATGTATGCAATGAATAGGTAGTCCTAAATCTTATTGGTGAAGTTGATCAATGCCAACTTGTACGATTAATGCTGATTGACCAACTTTATCGACTAAGACTAAGACCCAGTTCCACAATTCATGATTAACTCTTAACCGAGGTGCAACTTATTTCTCATCTCTTTCTAATTCAAAAATTGGAAAACGATGGGAAATTAATTAAACCTCGGTTAAAAGTTAACTGTGAATTGTGGAACTGGGCCTAATACTTCCACTACAGATTCGTATAATAAAATCAACTTTAGATTTCTGATTTTATTTTTGTTTACAAAATGTTTAAACGTAGAAGAAAATTATAATACAATTAAAGCTTCAAATATGATAACAAATAAATTAATATAGTAAATAATGTTATGACGTTATAATTATCTTTATATTTATCATACTTTGCTGATTATAACAAAATTATTGTTTTCTGTAGTACTAGTGCCACTAGCCAATGCATTTGTAAAGAATCTACGAAAATATCCACAATTGCATGATCGCGAGTATGCCGAAAAAAGATTTGGGGCGATGGGGCCGTTAGTTTTGCCGTAAGTGTTTAACATTTAATATTGTTTGCAGATATTATAATTATTATTGCGAATTCCCATACAGAAATAATAAATCAACAATGATTTCGACAAACTCGTTATTAACTAAATTTTCATTGAAACTTTCGTTGTAACTTTGAACTTTCGTGAGAAGGAAATCGGATATTAAATAAATCATAATAAAATTAATAAGGCTTTATAAGTATAAAACAATGCATATAAAGAAAGGCAAAAAGCCGCAGTAAAAGAACAGATAAATTTAATTAATAATATTGAGAGAACGCTCGAATAATATATAAAAATTAATATAATGTATCGGACAACGAGCCAAAATAAAAACAATAAAATTCAAGAGAAACAAAGACAATATATTAAAAAAATATAATAACAAATAAAAAAAATATAATAAAAAATACAATATATTAAATGAACAATAAACAAGTAAAACAAACGTTTTGACACCGATCGGGTCATTCTCAATGTTAACAAAATTAAATTTTAATAATGGAATTTTTACCAAAGATTCTTATATGTTATATTATAAATTCGGATGCTTGAACAATAGAAGTAAATCATAATCGTTAGGTAAAAATTATGGTTGTCCATGATGAAATAACAGATAAATTCAATTTATTACAAATTGAGAATAACCCGACAGGAGAGAGGTACATATGACTGCGGATAGAGAAGATGAAGGGGAAGAAGGAGAAGGAGACGTTATTTCATTTCTCATAAAAATCATCACCGAATCAATTTCGACCGCTTGTACGTCTAGAACGACTTGATCGATTTTAAATTTTTTTAGCTCAAATTACTCGTGGCGATACCGCCTTTCAGGACATATAACGTTCGATTCAAAATTTTTTATATTTTAGTAGTTATGCACCCCCGAAAATTGGACTTTGGTGGCTCGGGATAAGAGACTTGTAGTGCCTTTCAATTTTTGAACATGGCCGGAGACACTACCGCGCCTCCTAATTTATCTGTTATTTTACTGGCTCTTTGCGTTTCTTTATGTACATTGTTAAATAAATCATTTACAATGTTTATACTTATATTTAATATTTGTATATACTTATATTTAAGATTGTCTTAAAATAAGAATGAATTATAAATACTGGCCTATATGATTTTTTAAGTTTTTTTACGTTGAATATAATAATTTTTATGGCAAAATTAATCATTCGATTTATATTGTAAAAAATAAATAATTAATTACATACAAAATAAAATTTTAATATAATAATTAAAATATGTTTGTTTTTAAAAACAATTAAAAATCGGGATTTTTTGTGTGCTATTTTCTTCAATCTTTAATTTTTTCTGTATGGAAACGTGAACCGAAAAAATGACAGACGCTTCACCTAATTTGTGGAAGAATGTGAACCGGTTTCCCGCGTACCCTTTCGCTTTCTCTTACGCAATATTAAAGTGTTTTCCTCTTAATCTTACAGCGTGACCGCAACTGACAGTCGTCGGGTTGTTTACAACGTATTGGAGTACTCGAATCTCTGCGATTCCAGTAATATGACTATGGATGAGTGGATTCGCATTGCTAACGATATTAAGGTACATTAATCAAGTTACATTGACAAAGACAAAGTAATTCAAAGAAAATATGTTGCCCTATTATTAAAAATTTTTTTAATGTAATTTATTTTTTAAAACAATAACTTGATATTACTCAAAGCAATTCCATACGCAAACGAAAATGTATAAACAATATATTAAGTACCAAGTAAATTTAGTGTTTCACTAAGACAAGATTTCTTATCTTGAAAAACATTTCTTGTTTTGTCCTTATTTTCAAGATAAGAAATTACGTTTTTCTTGTCTTGAGCATTTCTTCACACTGCATTTCTTGTCTTGATCTCAAGAAACTTGAATTTCTTGAAATTTTTTGTTTTTTAAATAAAAAAAGTATTTACGATACAAAAATTATACGATTTAGTCGTAAAATAGACTACTTTAGGATCCCCTTATACATAAAAAATTTCAAGAAATTTCTTGATTTCTTGTCAAGAAATCTTGGTCTTGATAACACATTACTTGGTTTTGACTTGAAATTATTTTCTCCTTCTTGTTTTGGTCTTGTCTTGATTCAAGACAAAATCAAGACAAGATTTCTTGAACTTCTTGATCTTGGTGAAACACTACAAGTAATTCACGCTCGACATTTCTAAACAGTTAGAGATAATGTAATCTGATTCGAGTTAATCTAATCAAGTTACAGGAAAGCTATAACTAAAGCTCTCTATATATGTTTAATGAAGGTGAAACATACTTGGCAATAGATTAAATTACCATAAAACAATCTTTACAACTTTTTTTTTAAGGAATCTTATGAACGCTTCGACGGATTTGTGGTCCTTCACGGCACCGACACTCTCAGTTACACTGCGTCCGCTCTCTCATTCATGCTCGAGGCTCTGGGCAAGACTGTCATTTTAACCGGTTCACAAGTGCCGATTTTTGATGCGAGGAGCGACGGTCTGGAGAATTTTCTCGCGTCTCTCGTAATCGCGGCGAATTACAATATACCTGAAGTATGCGTGTTCTTTGGTACGAACTTATTGCGCGGAAATCGGACAAGCAAGGCATCTGCGACATCCTTCGAAGCCTTCCAGTCACCGAACTTTTCATCCCTCGCCACGGCGAACATCAAAATCGAAGGTTGTTATACAAATTTAAGTCAACAATATAGTTTTTTTGAGATTTTTTTAAATTTTAGAGAGTAATACGAGAGATATCTAAAGAGTTTAAGATTAATATTGTTTTACAGTGGACTATTGTTTGATTTTCCGTCCATGTTCTATGGAGAAGTTCTACGTACACGCGTCGCTCAATCGAAACGTCGGCCTACTTCGATTATTTCCTAGTATCACGTCCGATCTGGTTAAGGTGTTTCTTCAACCACCTATCGAGGGAGTCGTGTTACAGTCTTACGGTACGGGGAATGTCCCGACAAATCGCGATGACATCATCGAGGAACTTTACGCAGCAACAAAGCGCGGTGTGATTATTGTGAATATCACTCAATGTTCGACTGGATGTGTCTCAGATGCGTACGAAGCTGGAAAATTACTCCAAAAAGCTGGTACCGTAAATAAAAACATGTGTAGCGAGTGGGGGCATCGCCCCCACTCCATTGGGGGGCAACTCAAATGGGCTCGCGCCCGGCCGCGCTATAAACAAATATGCCCCACTCTTACACAATGTACTATTATCTCTCTGTTAAACTTTTTTCAGTAAAGATTGTAGAAAATATTACGCAAAACTTGCGTAATAAAGCGCGACACAGAGTTATAAACATAAATATTTTCCTGTGTTTACGATAGTGTTACGTATTTTACTTTAGATAAATCTTATTTTATGACTCGCAATAATTCGTTATCAATTCGCAGGTGTGATATCGGGTTTTGATATGACACCAGAGGCCGCGTTAACGAAACTCGCGTACGTCTTATCAAAGGATTGGGATACGGAAACCAAGCGACAAATGATGCAAACGAATTTACGGGGCGAATTGACCGCCGGTCGACCGCTCGCTATACAGGACTGGGACCTGGTGGAAGCTGTTGCTAGGTCCTTGAGGTTATCCTCGACAGTAGAACTTCAGGAGTTGGGATCGATCTTGTTTCCAGCTATGCTGAACGCCGCAGTAATGAGGCGCGATGTCATGAAACTCGAGTCTTTAAGAGGATATGTCAGTAATCTGCATATTTACTTAATTTTACGTTTTATCATTATCTCTTTCAATAAGCAATAAAATGAATAGACTGAGGATATTATAAAAAAAATTAAACATTTTTAAGAGTCGTTCCCTGTTTTTCCATCGCAGTTCTCAATAATCAAGAATGAATTGAAATTTTTATACGTATTTTAAGTATTCATCCACTGAATCCAATTGAATAAAAAAAAACTTTTTATTCATTTAAATTTAATTGGATTCAGCTGGATTCAATTTAATTGAAAAACTGCATTTCCTATTACGAATTTTAAATTGAACAATATTTACAATCCACAGAAAAAGCTGATATTAATTTAGATTGAAAGACATAAAAATGTGCTTCAGGCAATTCCTATAACAACAAAAATACATTCGAATTGAAAAGAATTTATTTTAACGTTCGGAAATGCGCATATTTCTGAAAATCTGAATCCATATCAATCTATTTTTGTTTTTTGGATTACATATTGTGACAAAATAGTATAGGCATTAATTGGAGGATTAATTTTCTATAATTAGCAAAAAGAAACTCAAAACTCTTTAAAGATTAAAATAGATATATATTTGAAAAAATGTTAGTCTCTGATATATGTCATATATCAGATAGTAAGCTGATTACACTGATTATAGCAATATAATATAAAAATAATATAAATGTACAGCATATTATGGACAAATTTTTAAATTATTTTCTAATTGATTTATTACTTTAATCGGCTTTTTGTATTAGGGTGCGGATATTTCGCAAGCAAATGCAGATGGTCGAACGGCTTTGCATATAGCCTGTTGCGAGGGAGACATGAAAGTCGTGCAACGTCTTTTAAAAATGGGTGCGAATGTTCACATTAAGGATCGATTTGATCGCACGCCTCTCACCGACGCGATCGAATACGATCACCATGAGGTAAGACTGCTCTCAAGAAGTTAAATCTGAATTCCATCACCTTATATGCCCCTCGAAACCAAGCAACTTTTGTTTGATACTTTTCCTTCTATTGTTAAAAACAAGCGAGTTATTCAGGTGACCTGTTTTAAATGCCTCACTCTGTATACTTCTTATTTCTTCTTCTCTTGTGAAGAACATTTTAAAGCTTAGTTTGTGTTTTACCAGCGGATTAAGATTCTATGATCAAAATATCATTGTTGAAAGTACGTTTTATGATTTTCTAGATCATCAGGGTATTACTACAATGTGGAGCACATCTTCACGGGGATGCTGTGCTGATCAGCGAGAGGATGTGCGCGGCCGCGACTGTAGGAAACACGAAGCGTCTGCAGTCGTATCTGCTGGCTGGAGCTGATCTGTCGCAAAAGAATTTTTCTGGACGAACGCCATTGCATTTCGCCGCTCTTCATGATCGCATGGAAACAACCGAGTTTCTGTTAGAAAACGGCGCGGACCCGCACTGCGTCGACATGCTGGGAGAAACCGCGGCGGATCTTGCAGAGACTATGCGAGCTGCGGGTGCTGCGCGTTTGTTAGCGCCTTTCAAGCAGAATGGCGTCTGCAATGACTAAATTACAGCGCGAATACAAAATATTAGCCTGTTCATATTTTAGATTCTATTATACCAAAATGTTACTTTAAGCAAGACTTAAAATTCTTTATTAATTATTATTGAAATGACAATCTTTTATTAGATATCCTATTCATTGCCAAAAAACGATCTAATTTTTTATCAAAGTTTGAATGAGGATGAAGGAGCTACCACTCTCGGGTCCAGTCATAGAAGATAATTATTTTTAAGAATATATTGTTCAGACCATTGAAGATGGCTCAGAGTGAAGCCGAAATGTCTGAATTTTAAGTATTATTTTAATAAAACTATTAATTCGCACCAAGTGTGTACCGCTGTATGACTCTCATTAGCCCGTTTTTATTTTGACTTAAAATTCTCTTTCTCTTTCTGTCTCTCTTGGTTTTATAAAAAAAGGAAGCGAAAGAGAGAGAGAGAGAGAGAGAGAGAGATGGAGGGAGGGAGAGAGAGAGAATATGTTTCAAACTTTCTTTAAAGTTGAAGTAATATTGATGTAATCGTTTTTAATTATCTAAGTCTAAAAATAATTATTTCAGTGATCCAGAGTAAAAAATTTTCGACATTGACTGATTTTTATCCCTTTCTTTCTATTTAAAATATGTACATATTTTATTGCTTATAATTTATTGGTTACCATATTGTATATATAATATATCTACCTATATATGTATAGCTGAAAAGTTATTTTTAACTAGCTTCTTGAATGAAATATCGATGCAGTCAAGTTTTAAAGACTGAGAAGTATGTGACAGGATTTTGGAGAGGGATAGACACGTGATGTAGATCTGCGCATATATTTTATTTCCTTTTAAATTTGATTATGATTACAGAAATATGACTGCATAGTCACAGTCTGCTGAATAATAAATACAACGTGTTCGCTATATAATTATTGTAATTGATAAATTTATAGAATGAACGTGTTTATAGAAAGAAATGTATTTTACAATAAATGTAAAGCTCATAAATATATGTATAGCAATATTTAAACAATTATGAATAAAAAAATCAATGATTCTCGAAAATTAAAATTTTCTAGAAATTCTTAAAATTTTTAAATCCTGTAATCTGAATTCTAATTTTGTACGGTTTGACTTTAACAATATTTTTTATACGATTTTATTATTTAAAATATCAATAATATAACAATAATTCCATACATCAACAATAACTCCATATGTGATAATTTCAAAAATATAAAGGAGCACTAAAGCAAGATGTATTTTGCGCATATATTTAAATTCAGATAATGTTGTTCAAAAACATTATGATTTGAATTTAAATATATAACTTGCGCAAAATACACTTTGCTTTAGTGGGTGTATGCTCTTTTATATTTTTCCTTATGTCATCGAGCCACATATATTCTATTATTCATTTTATGATAATTTTATTTAATGACAGCATGTGATCGTTTGAATTAATATTCATTGTTTACATTATAATTTAATTAGAATGTTACAGCATTTATACACTTCATTGGATTAAATATATTATTTATCATACATTTACAATCATAATCTTTATTTTATGTACGTAAAAAATAATTACATATCTATTGTTATTACATATCTACTGTGTAGATGACTAATTTTTTCCTCATATCTTTCAATTTTTTGAAAAGTGCAAATTTTTGTATTTTGCATTGGAGAAAAACACACAAAAAATTCAATGTATTCACATTCTCTTAATTTACCTGCGTTGTTACAAAGAAATTGCTTATTTTAAATAAAATTGATAGTTGAGAATGGATTAAATATGACATCAAGCTATATGTTTATCAAAATAGCGATGGTTTTCTAACAATTTATGTAAAAGCAAAAGTGAAAGCGTCGTCATCTAAATATGCGACGAGGTTTCTCTTAAGCGCGACGAAATTTCACACCTCGTGCATCAGAATAATGAAGATCAGCCGTCCTGATGTAACTCATTCGTTATACTGTGAATGATTTTAAAATTGAACGTGAGACAGATTCGCCAGATTAGGGAATGTATGATTATAAAGGAATACTCAAACACCGCGCGCGCGCGCGATCAATAATATCCTATTCACAATTTACAATTGCGAAACGTCAAACATCATGGCATCAAATTACTCCAAATTGAACCATCATACTTTTAAGAATTTTTGGCGTCACAAAGCATTCCTTATACATGCGGCTGCAGTCGTGGTGCTTTTCTCGACCTACCCTGATAGCTTCTTGAAGGACTGTGCCATTCGTGAATTCCTTAAACCACTTGTGACTGTTCAAAATAATTTAAATAAATTCATGTAATTGAAATTTAATTCGAATATATATATTTTTCTTGATTAAATGATTAATGTGCTTTGTCGCTAATTTTAATGTTTTTATAATTGGACGAATCATATACGAGTGTAATTCTCAACAATCATTCAGAAAAAGAAAATCAAATTTTTACTCTTGATTTAATCGTTTTTTAATTGTTATTTAATTGTGTGTATATATATTTTCAATTATCATTCAATATTAATGATATTAGTTATCTTACTCTTAATGATATTAGTTATCTTACTTTAACATATACATTAACTTATCCAGTTTATTTCTTTAATATCTTTTCCTTCAAATCTAGTAAAGTTTATTACATGTATATATTAACTTGATTAAATTATTAATGTAGTGGATACTCATTAAATAAGCAAATAAGTTTTTCAATTTAAAATAATATTATTTAGTTAATTCTGAATTATAAAATAACACTTAAAAATCTCAAAAATATTTTATATACTAATAAGTTGTTAATCACTTATTATTAAGATTTATAATATGTATTAAAAGTTAATCGTACCTTGATAATCCATCGATAATCTTATCGGTACTCGTAGGATTGTCGGAATGACTCGCCTCGGAAATGATGGTGCAAATAATGCGCTGGATGCAAGGCGTGATGTACCGATTGCTAAACACGATTTCGTTTATTGTATCTCCCATTTGCGACCATTGCGAGTCGAGACCTGACACAAAAGTTCACACTCTAGGTAATTCAAGAGAATTTACAATAATTTTATTATCTTCACGGAGCAGTGAATAGGAATGAAACTTGTACTTCGATATTGCATTTCCGAGCCCGGCTTCGATAAAAGGGGCACCGCTAAAGTGAGAATGGCTGTTAGTACACCAGCAATTGACAATCCTTTCGTGTTGACATTAAGCAATGGTAACACCTCGCCATTCTCGCTTATATGATTCATCGGTATCGTGAAGAAGGGAACCGATACATCCCAAGTGATCTAGTAAAATTAAACAAGAAGATCTCTCAAACAATTTGAAGTCGAATTCTTCAGAAATGTTGAATAAAATCCGTTCAATTATGTAAGATTAATTCTCATAGAATTTACGTGTTCGAAAAATTTTTACTTAATCAACTGTGATGTACTCACTTCGACATCTCCACCTTTAGTGTCAAACGAGATGAATTGCGACTTTTGACCGTTAATATTCATGAACGTCCGCGATTTGCTGTCGCCAATTACTTGTACGAAGAACAGCGCGAAGGGTAGAAGAATCAAAGCGGCTGAATCTGTCGATGTGGCCCTCATGTTCAAAATCTCTTTACGAACAATTGAATTTAGAAATATATAGTTGAAGATAAAACGTTAACACTTCCTTTATCAGATTCTCGATATCCTCGACTTTCTGCCGCTCGCGAAGTAATGAAATGCATTTGTGTTACCCGAGTGCTTTTCAACCTAGTGCAGCAGACCCCCACTAATTTGCCCCGTTCGTAACAGGCTCGTTCGCCCCTATCAAAACAGGAAATACCGATTTCTCGTGACAGAATTAACGAACCTAAACAGCGAAATCTACAGAATAATGTATTATTAATTGCTGTTGCATTTCGCGAGTCGCTTTTACCTCTTATCGGGGAGAGATAAAAAAAGCCGAATAATTATGAGCGACTTCTCATGACTTATTATAAACATAAATTTTCACCCGGTGCTAGAAAAAGAGCAAATGTGATGACGAGTCAATTAGAGTTATAGACTCGGCCAGTTGTCGTAATTTTCAGTAAATTTCCCGGGGCACTGTCTAGAACCGACTTCTCCATCGAACTCGAAACGGGGGAGAACGCGACACGCGAACTTCGCGAAAGGGAACTTTGATTCGCACTCTGGCTTCTCCCCGTGCGACTTGCGAACATGCAACGCATAGACAACGAAATTTCTTTTCTGAGAAATTTCCGGAAGGATTCCGATATATGATCTCATAGCGTAAACTCTGCTACTTACATCCGCTTTCGCGGTTTCTTGCATTTAAATATTTTAATCCTACTTTCGATCTTTTGTTCGGTGATTTTTTGATTTGTATCTCTGTGACATTTATACTAAGTTTTGTAGAATTGGCAAGTCCACATAAGGACTAGAACACTTATATATATAATTTACTTAATTTTTCTGATAAATGAACGATTGTCATAAAAGCCATGTCGTAAAGTAGTTTTTACATTTCGTAAAGTAAATTTTTGTTCATGCTTTCAGGTTTGAGAATAGTATATGATTTACTTTATTTTAAGGTATTATAATTATTACTTAAACAAATTTATCATAATTGTGATGTATTTTTACCTTGCACTTTCGATATTTTTAACTTCAGACAAATAAAGTTGTCAAAAGTTCGATAAAGATAATCAGAATATTTTTGTACTGTGAAAATTATGTAATCATTTTTCTCTGCAATTTTTATTATAAATTAAAATATTTTTTTCTTGCAAATTCTTCTACAAATTTTAAGAACTTCTTGTCTATTACATGTACTTTCTATCGAGTTATTCTATTTTCTTCGCAAAATTGGAATCATTTAAAGCATAAGTTATTCTACATTATTTTATTCTACATTATTAATAAATAACGATTATTAAAATATTTAATTTCACTTTCCGAATCAAATTGCACCACATCATTCTTTGAAAACGTAATCAAAGTTACTAACTATACTTAAACAATTAGATAGATACAGAAGGCATAACCACCCTCGAAGTTCCACACATTTCGTAACGTGCTACAGGAAGTCGTAACACGGAGAAGATCACTTTAGCGCGCCACACGAGATGACGGAGACCGAAGTCGCGAAATTTTGCATGTCAAAAGTCAGTGAACATCTTAAGAGGACATTGTTGGCGGCCGGCCATTATTTCAGCCTCGGGATTTCGAACTGAGTAACCAGTGATGACGACGTGGTTGCAGGAGAAGAAGAAACGGCCTTCTCCTCGCTCGCGACGACGAAGGCGACGACAGGGAGACGTCATGCACCACGAAGACTTAACAATGAAAGCGAAACCGGGGCTTCAATTATCATTTACGACTTGTCGTGTTCAGACGACCAGAGCGACTATATATGACTGAAAGCAGACACCATACAGTCAGTCCGTGACACTGAATCGCCATATCTCATCCTAGGATATACCTCAGTTTCCACGTTGTATCTTAAAGAATTCATTTTTCTTTTATCACTACTAAAGGTATTTATTAGAACCACTTTTAAAAAATTACGTTTATATTCGCCCGATACGTGTCACGAGAAAGTCTTTGGCAAATTGCTACCTTGAAATCCTGAAAAATCTTTGGTTGGATTACAATTCTGGTTTAAAATAGACGAATCAAAATTTTATATCTGGATAGATCTGTTAGAATTCTATAATAAAATTAAGGTAATCGGAATTCTAATTAATATAATCTTCTGATTTGTTAGTTTTTAGCCAGATATTTTTCTTAGTATTTATTTAAGTTTTTTCTCAGATGACGTTTTGTATCTCGCGAAGTTTAACCGTGGCAATAAGCTGCTTCGCTATTCTGGTCAATGGCAGTCCGAAGTTCGATGATGGAGGGTAAGCTCATTTTAACGGTTACATTTTTAACAATATAAGGAGAATGTATTATTAAATACATAAATATAAAAGAATTAATATCCAATTTTCTTTTTGCAATATGCTCAATATTTCTTCCCAAACGTCACAGAAGTGCAAAAGATGCTTAAAAAGCATTAAAAAGAGCTTAAAAATTAGAAAGTAATTAAATACTCCAAAAAAATTAATGTAATTTTTTATCGTTAAAATATCTATGTCATGTGTCTGTATGTGCACGATCTATCGATAGATTTGTGCCGAGTTCCATCAGTTATATGGAAAAGCAGGCGAAGGCACAGGATCAGGTAGCTATGCCGTCGTCTCAGATTAAACAGCACGATGAAGCGTCGAAGCGCGAATCTGAGACAAACGACATTGCGGATCGTAGTCAGGAGGCACGATTTGGTTTCACCAATGTCGGAAGTACAGGAAGCGTAAGTATCGAATCGGATTTCTTTCCCTATCTTTTTCATGTTCTATAGATACCTATTGTTTTGGAACATAGTACCACACTTCTCTTCTTTTTCATCTCTTATTTCTACAATTTCTTTTCTCTTCTATTTCTTTTCCATCTCCTATTTCCATCCACCTACAAAATTTTAGAAATTTTCTTTAAAATATATATATATATATATATATTACTTCATCTTACTCTTTTTGATAATAACTGAAGTTAATTATGAAATTATCGGAAACTCATAGTGGCGTATAATTGAATTAAATTTACGTAATCGATTAAATCTGAATCAGGGTTACGGAGGCGTGTCACCTTATGCGCCGGCAAAAATAGATCTTGGAGGACTTCTCTTGGGAGCCATCATAGGTGTGGGATCGATCCTCATCATCCCAAAGCTGCTTTATATACTGTCGGGTACTTACGGCACATATGCGAGAAGTAAGTATTATACCTATTAATAAAATCTATATATATTGACTAAATCCCGCGTTGTTCATTTTATTTCTTCTTGGATTTACGTAAATCCAAAATAGGATTTACAAATCCTAAATTTCATAAATCTTTTCCTCATTAGACTTAATTTCATTATCAAAACATTTAACAATTTTCGCGCCACTATAAAAAAATTAAGAATCTGTTAGAATATTAACATAATCATTCAACTTAATGGATTTCTGATTCGAAACTTGATCAAATAACATTTAGAAAAATTCAAAACAACACGATATATCCCTTTTTCTTCAACATTTTCATTGAAAGACGATTAATTCTAAATTTTTCACAAGGAATGTTTAGCATCTCGTGAATATTCCGCTTTTACGGTATTCGTAAAATTTATGTAGGTGAAGATAATGGCTTCACGCAGACTCTGACGAGAATCGATGATGTCCTGGCCCGTCACGGCATCGATACAACCTCGTGCATGCAACGCGCGGTGTGCACCTATTCGCAGCAGGCGGCCACCGCAGTGGGCGACGAGGACGAGAAGAATGAAAATGAAAAGGATCAGAAGGCGACGTCCTTCGAGAAGATGGTGAACACAGTCACCACCAACCAGGTGTTCCGCACGGCCATGCAGGGCACAGCGATTGAGGAAGCGGTGGAAACCGGTAGGAACGGCAGAAACTGTTCAAGATCGTATCCACATTGCGGCTTCTCGATGGAGACCATGCTGTCACTATTGGCTAATGTTATCGCAACGGTGAACGCGCGCGTCGCGACGCCCACTAGTTCCTCGTTGTAATATATTGCTTATTATGTACTTTTTACTCTTCAAAAAAAGACGATTATAATTTAAACAGCACATTAAATGGAAAAAGAAAAGAAGCGCATAAAAAATAAGCTCGTGCTTGCGTGTACTACATTCTATGTGACAGAGAAATAGTAGACAGGATAAGAGTTTAATAATTTAACAGATAATACTGATATGTAGAATTATTTATCTTGAACGGCGATAGCTTCATTTTATTTCGTCGAGAATTACATTTGTGTGTTATTGTGTGTATGTTTGTAAATTAACAAAAGTGAAATCCTCGGCGCAACCCCTGTGCACTCAAGTGCGCTCAGCGTGACACGCTCTTCTTTCTCTCTTCGGCTACACGTAGAAAATGTTATTAGTCTAATACGGCTTTCACATTGAGGAAAATAGAATCGACTAGAGTCGCGATACGGTCTCAGGCGCATCGCGCTTAACACGTGTCAACAATCAGTACAGGCACTGCCCATGACGATGTCGTATTTATCTATATATGTTTATACAATATTCCCCTCAGACAACACAGCACGCATACACAAGCGCAAGGATGAATCGGAAAGTAAAGACACGATGGTATTCTCCACTTATTTCACTCTTCCGGCTTGTCACAGCAAGGCAACTTGAAAAAATGACTTCGTTTCATATTATCTACCTAGACAGCATTATCGCCTAGAAAGCTAAATTGCATAATAAAAAGAGAGAATATGTGAAATATTTATAATATCTAGAAGGGTCAGAAAATCCGCAAATTAATGCAAAAGTTAAAATAACAGATTTGTCTTTTTTAACATATCCTATAGAAGATGTGCTTTAAGTAGAAGAATATATAATTTCTGTATGTATTATAGAGATACGTTAGTTGTTAGTTATAAAATATAAGAGTCATGTATCTTTACTTTTTCATTCACTTTCGCATATTATTCTCGGAGCAGGACGTTCATGTGCGAGGTATTGATTCCTAGGAAAAAAGGACTCGTTCTTAAAA